TATCTAATTTTGATTATAATAAATTAACTAATAATGATGAGAATAATAATTTAGAACTTGATAAACTATTAACTTTAACAAATTGCTATTGAATATATTTAGTAATAAATAGTACAAATCAAAATAAAAATTATATTTATACTGCACAAAATATTTTTAAAACTTTATACAGTCATCCCTCTATATAGTCATCTCCTATATAATCACACCATATGTAATCACATTTATATTTAGGCCAAACTATAATTAAATTTGTAAGAAAAATATCTTTATATAAGCACAACCCCTGTATAAGCTCATTTTGAAAAAAACTTACTATGTGCCCAACTGTGTGATTGTATGAAAGGATGACTGTAGCATATAATTTATAATTTTTTATTTGATTATTGGAGTAAACTATTAATATCTAGATTATTGGCAACACGTTTAGACCCTTGACTAAAAACACTAGCAAATTTGAATAAAGATATTCAAATATAGAAAAAAAAGCTTACATAACAATTTAAAGAGCTAATTAACTCAAATTTAACAACTATATCCTAAGTTCCACTAATTTAGACATATCTAAAAATAATAACTTTCGTCATAATTATTTACATTCATCAATTTTTAGTATATCAAATGTAAATGCTTTAGTTTCTGGTCCTATGAATGAATTAGAATGTTGCTTAGATCCAATGCGTATACCTCTTGCAGAAGATAATGCAGATCTTTTAAATGGTGGTTAAATCGAAAAGCACAATTTCCAAATATATCAAAACTAGCTAGAAAATATTTGTCTATCCCCACATCTTCTGTAGCTAGTGAAAGATTATTCTCTATTGCGGGGAATCAAATAACAGCTAAACGTACTCAGCAGTTGGATTCAAGTTTAGTAGCAAAAATTATGTTTTCTGAACAAAATTATGATGCATTTGAGACTGTTTAATTTTATAAGTAAATAAAATTGGTTAATTATTAAATTTGCAAGATAAAAATTTTTTTAAATAATAACCCGGGTTCATCCGAATATCTGATTTTAAATATATCTAGATGTCCGAATGAGATTTTGGTATCCGGGTCGTATCTCTAGGTATAAATAATGTTGTGCCCTTGCGCATGGGAATATTTCTGAATTTCATAAGTATGGCCCGCATTAGCAGCAAGTTATCATAATGCAGGCCAGAATTCCATGCGCATGATGAGCATTAAATTTGAAAAAAAGGCTAATTTACCCATCACTATGTGGAAATAAAATGAAGTAAAATGTTGGACAAGTAATGTGAACTTATACAGTTATAGAAAGAGAAGAGTGCACTTATGTATATACTAAACTTTTGCAGGAAAATTTATTTAATTAAAATGCAAAAGGTGGATTCTTGGGCAAAAGCTTCGATCAAATATTATACCAACATTAACTCAATGATATATATAACGATAAGACAATTTTTATTTTTAAGTTAAACTGGTATATTCAATTTTAACGAATGACCAATTCTTCTATAAATATTGATATTAGTAAAAACAAGAGTGTCTATCCCTGGGAAAGTACCTACGTACGTACAGTACATACGTACGCACGTAGAAATTATATTAATTGGCTGCCGAATGCGCTGAATGTGCTGAATGTATACTGGTTTATGATGGCATTCTGTTAGTATTCTGTTAATATTCTATTAATATTCTGTTAATATTCTGTTAATATTCTGTTAATATTCTGTTAATATTCTGTTAATATTCTGTTAAAAATATTCTGTTAATATTCCGTTAATATTCCGTTAATATTCCGTTAATATTCCGTTAATATTCCGTTAATATTCTGTTAATATTCTGTTAATATTCTGTTAATGTTCCGTTAATATTCTGTTAATTTTCAGTTAATATTCAGTTAATATTCAGTTAATATTCAGTTAATATTCAGTCAGCCAGCTAACCAAATATTGAGATTGCCTGCACAATGCCGTCAAAATCATTATACAGTCAAACCTCTCTATAGTTACGCTCTATATAGTCACATTTATTTATAACCACACTAATTTTTATATGAAACATATAAAAATTTAACCTCTATATAAGCATAATTCTTTATCAGCACAGAATTCTTGAAACCAAGTGCGTGATTATAGAGAGGTTTGACTGTACAATCAGCACATTCGGTAACCAATTAATATAATTTCAACTATATAGGGTGAATTGAACCTGATTTTATCACTTTCAACTAGTGAGTGGCATATGTAGGAACTTTGTACACCAAATACGCGCTACCTGTGGAGATGTTTCAAATATTTCCACAAACCCTGACAACACAGTGGAATAATTTGATATTTATACGTTTCATATGACGACATGGAATAGACTTGTGTTACAAATCATTTATATCACATTTCAGTTTTTTATTTACGTACGTACAAGATTTTCGGAGAGTTATAAAGAAAGCTCGGAGATAATAAACCCGGGGGATAACTAAGAATAAGGAAAAAAAACAAAGATTGTGATTAATACGTACGGTATCAATCTCGATATATATGTAAATCTATGTCATGCAATAATAGTATGCTTTAAAAATCACATGATTTCCGCCACTTACATGCATAAATAGTATTTTAAAAAATCGACACACTGTTACACAATTGAAGAATGTTCTTATATTATTTTACAGTACTTTAGAACTTTTTTTGAAAGTTTCGCTTGATTTATCCACTTTATGAAATGTTTTACAGGTGTATTAAACAAACATAAAGTTCCCATATTGTTTTAGAAAGCCTTACCTATTTGTAAATTTCGCAACTTAGTTTAATTGGTTAATTAATAACGTAATGCTATTTTATTGGTCAAAAAATGTATGAAAATCATGTCTAAATTTAGACAATATAAAGTTCGAGAATATATCTTACGTAAAAAGTAATTAATATTGTAAGAGTGGAATTTTAAATATTTTTGCAATATCACCCAAGAGAATTACATTTTAAGATTTGATACGTCATTCCATTATAGAACATAAAAAGTAATTTCTATAGTAAGAGATAAATTACAGTATCACCCAGGAGAATTACATTTGAAAATACGCAGTTCATGCAAATAGAGAAACAAAAAACTGAAGATATATGCAATATTTGATATTAAACAAACCAAACATTTGTGTTTTCAAATTTAACACAAAATTTAAGGCACAAAATTTAGGAAAAACAAATTTTGAGAAAACGTAATTTTGAGAATACGTAATTAATGCAATATTTCATACGTAAACAAACATTTGTGAACATTTGCTTTTTCACAATGTTAACACTCAATTCTAACACAAAATTTAGGGGGAAAATTTCAAGTTTCATATGCAATTAAATTCAAATTAGCAAAGTTTGTAATACCACTACATGATGAAAATAACATTTTGATTCATTTTTGATTTATTTTGATAAATGCAAAATACACGTGTGTTAAAAAATAAAGATATCTTATCCGACAAACTCATATGATCATGGCGCAGCAACGTACTGTTATTTTTTAACGCAAAATGACGTATTGCCGAATA